TTTTATGTGATGAAATGAATTAGAAAATTATTTTTGAAAAAATCATATTATTTAGATAATCTGATATATATATATATATATATATATATATATATATATATATATATATATATATATATATATATATATATATATAGAGAGAGAGAGAGAGAGAGAGAGAGAGAGAGAGAGAGAGAATTAAAAAATTGGAGGGATGGAGAATGAAAATTAGAAAATTGGAGGGATGTAGAATGAAAATTAGAAACTTGGACGAATGGAGAAGGAAAATTGAAAAACTGGAGAAATGGAAAACTGTAAATGGAAAAAACAGAGAAATGAAGTAAATGACCCCTAAATGACTCCAAATAAGCACAACACAACCCCTAAATGACTCTTAAAACCATGCATCTTTGGCACTTATCACAAGTTTCCACACTTTATTCTTGCTTATCCTCAAGCAAGTTATCAATGAATTCAAGAACAAATAAGTGCCAAAGATACTTCAAGGAAACTCAACTAATCAAATGGTCAATCAAGAAGAATGTGCAAGAAAATGAAGGGGGAGAAATCCCTCATATCATCAAATAAGTGTGTTAACCATGTGCCATACTTTGCAACTCAAGGAATATTCAAAAGAAACAAAAACCCTATCAATTGGATATATTTAAGCTCAAGGGAACAGACTCTCCACATAAATTTGTCAAGCATGCATTCAATTTGGATTCGCTTCTTATTTTTCAAGGGCCTTCAAGCCGAGCTCACTAGTGGGACCGATGCGCGCACCACAACCAAGCATCCTCCCAATACGCCAAAGCCCAACATAAAAGTAAGGTGGAGGTACGACATGGGCCTCTCCCCACCAATGGCTTAGGCGGCTCTCTTTTCTTTTCAACCCCCTAGGATAACGTCATCGGGCAACCCGAATTCACGTGGAGCTCCATGCTTTTTCGAAGGCGGTGCAATGGGTGCCCGAATCCTAGCAGGGTGGCTCACCTCCTCTCTTATTTTCTTTTCTCCTAAGATAACATCATTGGGGCGACCCGACTTCACATAGAGCTCTACGCTTTTTCGAAGACGGTGTCATGGGTGCCCCAAATCCTACCAAGAGGGCTCTCCTTGTTTCTTTCCTCATAGGGATGTCCATTATTTTGCCCTTGACCTTTTTTTCATTTCTCTTCCATGACTACCCATCATGCCTTTTTCTAGGGATTAGGGGTTCACTCTCAACCTCACCGAAGGCTCACCTTTTGCCCCATGCCTTACCAAGATTAGTTCAACTAGTAGTTGCCCCCGTGCGATGCACGGCCATGATATTATAGTGTGATATATAAAAGATTGTTATATTGAAATTATAGGACCAATAAGGTTTTAGTTGTAATAAATAGACAAAATATAATTTATTGGCGTTCCATAAATAAAACAATTACACATTATTATTAGAGATTTCTTTGTAAACTACATTTTGAGTATTGTTGACTTTAAGACGATCAGGATTACTCATCCTAGAAACTGCTACACATAATTGGCCATGATCCCTCTAACTTATGGTAATCTAACCTTATTGCTCTTTTGGTGTGCAGTGGAGTGAGTGGTCTGATCTCCTCAACAGATACATAGGAGAAGGCATATTTTTGGTTCAGAGTATTACTTATTCTCAGAGTCTCAGATTGTACTTCTGCAAGTCGTTCGACCTCTTTATATAGTGGTAGAATTGAATCAAAATCAAGACTGTTATAGAAAAACGAAGAGGCAAGCTTTGGAACAATGACAAAGAATAACTATGTTATTTAAACTTAACATCCTTTCAGAAAGGATATCTTCAAGTTGTAATTTAACATCGTTTTCCCGTTTGATGCACGGTCTTATTATTAGGGCTCAAGATATAACATTTTGATAAATTCAAGAAATATTACCGATAAAATTAAAGATATAGTAAATTGATAAAATATAATTGATCCACCTTCCCTAAATAAAAATAATTGCACATTATTAAAAATTTATTTGTAAACTACATTTTGAGTAGTGTTCAGAAGACGTCCAGATTCACCACAAATTAAGACTTGACCATTAGGATTACTAACCCTAAAAACTGCTACATACAATTGACCATGGTTCAAAACATATTTCATAAGTAACAAACCAACATGATAGCATAACTGGAAACTACTTCCTTTGAAATTTAAACGGTAGTCTTGGATCTGACGGAGTACGCCAACCTTGGTATCAGTCTAAATTTACATAATTGCCATAATAAAATTTTATTATGATATTTATTTATATTATAAAATAATACATTTTTAGTAAATTTTAAACTATAGTCCACATAACATAACTAATTAGACCAATATACAACTTAAATTTGTAAGTAAAAAAAAAAAAAAAAAAAAAAAAAACAGTCCAACAATATATATTTACAATCAGGCTTATATATATTAGATTAAAGCCCAAAAAACAACAACAGATTCAGGCCCAAAATCGCGACCCAATAGCCTGACCCAAATGAAAAGCTGCGACCCGACCCAAATATTAGGAGTATAAAAGCCGTAGTCGTCAGACCGTTCACCTTATTCCCTTCTCTCTGTACTCCAGCCTTGAAGAGATCTGTCCGAATCTGTACACTCCAATCTGTAATCATCGACGACGGTTAGCATTCTTCTCCTCCCTCTCACCCTATAATCCCGTTATCAGGATCTTTGTCCGAAACTCTAAAATCCAACCTCTAATCACAGATTGTTTACCCATTTTTTTTTGTTCTAGAAGGCTCTAAATATGTTTATCGCGTGTTAGAGATAAGTAATTTACTTATTTCAACATCATCAACATCACTCTCCGACACTCTCCAACATTCTACACTAAATTCGCAAATTTCATTCGCGATATTAGTACCAAACCCTAGAAGAAAACCTAACAGATAAGTACATTGCTTCTTTTTTTTTTTTTTCTTTTTTCTTTCTGTTTACTATTTTTTGGTCATTTCATTGCATATTTTGTGATGCATGTTTGTTTAACTTTAGATCAGTGTTGAAAATGAACTAACAGTTTTGCAGTAGAATGCAGTCGGACAGTTTGTTAAGTTTCTGATGGCAACTTTGATTTATTAGTTTCCAACTCTTATACTCTGATGTATTTGATTTGTTTCAGTCATCTTTAGCACTTGATTCCAATTTTTGCAATCAAACTGAATTCCTTTTTGAACAATAGTGGCAATTTGGCTTAACAATTTATTTAACTCTAAACTTCACTGCAATTGCATAATCTTCTCATTTCAACATTATTGATGAGACTATTATTATTAATAAAAAAATTTTGATCTCAAACGCATAATCCATCCGTGTAGTACAGCTCAAGTATAGCTTCTAAAAGTGAATATTAGCTGGATTAATATGTTTATCATTACAGGTATATCTTAAACCATTCAGTGGGGCAAAAACATTTAAAACTCAGCATATATGTACTCAACAGTAACACACTCTAAAAAGAAATTCAATTTCCAGGTATGTCTCCAATACATATAAACTAAGCATATAATCTAGGCATTAGGTACAGATCTTACATATGTTCTTTGGTTGCAATTTGTAACTTAGTTGTATTAGTATGTTTTCATTTATTTTTGTGATCAAACATGCAAATTAGTTGGATATGTTTTCACAAAAAACTAATATTTATACTGGAATTAAAAAAAAAAAACCATGGATACAGGAATTTAGAAGGTTCTGGTATATGCAATGTCTTCTTTTAATAGAACTAAGCCTAAATAGATTAGACAACAGATAATAGAGAATTTGAGTAAAAATCATAACCACAGTAGGTCCAAACTATGAGTGAACTAATGGCAAGAAGCTTGAATACTCTATAGACCTGCTTGTAGAATGTTTTACACCACATAGTTCTGTGCTCCTTAAGACTATACACAGTAAAAGAAAAAAACAAATTTTGAAATTATTTAATGCAGAGTTGATATTTGTAAGTGGTAATAACTTGCCATAATATTTGGTGCTAGGCAGTTCCAGTATTATCATATCCCTTGCCTAATTGCACTCTGGAATTGCTGACTGATGTTGTTCACTGCCTCATGTTTCCATCCTGAGTCCCAATGTGTGTGTAGTATCCCTTCTGCAAAAATTTAAATAGCAAGAAAAATAGAAACTACAAAGTAGGCATTTAGTAAAACATTTAACAAATCTAACATAGCTAATTAATCATCCAAAAAATGGTGATATAAGTCCAATCCAATGTGAGGGCATCATAATGTTGATGTCCATAGTACACTAATAATTCTTAAAAAAAAAAGGTTGATTTCCTTCACCATCTTAAGTTAGTTGGTTGGAGAAAATTGGTCCATAAGGCATCTTTTCACAATATTTGAGTCTTCAGTGTCAGTATCATTCCTTCTTTTTCGGCATTTATTGGGTTGTTTACCTCATCACCTTTTGAAGCTTCCTGGAAATTTAAAAATAGAAAGTTATATCAATATCAGTTTTTTTATTTTGTGTATTTAAAATAATTACCTGAACTGATAAGTCATCCTCTTTTTCTTGGTTGTCTTTCAATTTTGGGTTGTTTACCTCATCATCCTTAGAAGGGTCCTGGAAATTTAAAAATAGAAACTTTTATCAAAAACATTTTTTTAAGATGAGTATATGTTCCCTGTTTTTAAAAGTAGTCAGAAAACTAAAATATTAGGCAGTGAAAGATTGGTTTAAAGCTTAAACAGTGAACAATGTGCAAAAAAATGGAAGCAATATTGACAAAAGTTTGTCTTTAACAGTGTACATTTGTTTTTCTTCAAAACATATTTCATATAAAGTTTTAGATAAAAAGGTATAAGAAATAATACAATTGAAATATGCATAAGAAATTTTACACATGTAGAGGTAGAATTATAGTATTACCATGTCTGATTCATGAATGAAATAAATTGAAGAATTTATAAACAACATCAATATGGTAGGATTATAGTATTACCATGTCTGAATCATTATCTTCACATTCTTCTATCATTTTTGAAATAGTATTACCATGTCTGAATCATCATCTTCACATTCTTCTATCATTTTTGAAATAGGATTCTTTTCTTGATCAACTCCAGGTGCAAAATGACTTCACTCATTCACTGAACATGGTTGTTGCTTCCTTTCCATCTATTCAACATGGTTGTTGCTTCCGTTCCATCTATTCAAAGTTCCTGCATTGCAGTGAACTAACTGGATAAACATGATAAAATCCAAAAGAAAAACAAAAAACAAAGAAATAACATACCAAATCAGAGTCAATATGTTAACGGCCAATATCTTTTAACAGATATGTACTGCGATGGCATGTTATTTCGAACAAATTTTTTATTGTTGCTTTGTGTATTTGCAGGTTGTTTGAACTGGATAGATGGTGAATTTGGGAGTGCAGATTGCTATCAATGGAGGTTTATATAGATGCTGAATAGTGTCTTTCAAAATTGAAGACTTTCTTGGAATTATGAAGGCTGCACCAAATGGTTCAACATCCAAGATTGATTTGAATTTACAGTGATGTATTTATTAATGCAAATGGCGGAACAACTTCCCACAAATTTGGGAAACGAAAAAGGTGGTTGATAATAGATTTAGTATTTAATTCAAATACAAACACATTTATTTTAAAGATAAAGCTCATCTGAATTCTTTGAGCGCAATATTGTATAGTCCAAAACGGCACAATTTAGTTTGGGCGGGAATTTGAAGCCATTTGATTGGCTGCAATCTTATGGCTTTAATATATAGTAAGATTCCGGGCCTCGCTTTTAACTATCTTTCTAAAATTGAGATGTATACACTCCCACTTCAAGAGATCCTTGACTAAGGTCCAAACAAAATAAGAGGTGGATGACATGCAAGCATACAAAAGTGTAAACCTATTGGGTTTCTATGCAATCCTCACTTGTTGTAAAGAGGTAATTTCCAAAGGATATTCCCCAAATAAAAACATTTTTTGGCACATCGCTAACACACTTCCAAAATGATATGAACAATGACACACACTCCATCACCACACACATTCATCAATCGAGCACCATTCAACAAATTGAGAATTCAAACAATAAAGCACAAAGTGCATCCTTTCCACACTTTAAATCAAACATCGTCCTTGATGTTACCATGCGGACTAGGTGGAAAGAGGAGCATAGGTCAATATAAATGAGCGTCCCTTTCCACACATTAGAAGTGTTTCTAGGACTTGGGGTATGAAAGATGAAAACCCTTTGTGGATGAAAAATGAAATGCTAAAGAACGTTTGTTGATAAGTGCCAAAGACACCACTATTAATTAGGGGTCATTAAGGGGTTGTATTATGCATAATTATGGTCAATTGTGAATGAGTTATGTTGCAAATACTATAATTATGCTAATGTGTTGCAAATGCCCATGATTATGTTCACTTTAGTGATTTTGAAGGTTTTGAGCACAAAAGAAGGCGTGTGGATTAAACCGGGGTGAACCAGGGACGAATGCAATGGAGAAAGGTGCCCGGAGCCCGTCCACGAGTGCCCCACGCGTGTGGGCCGTGTGTGGTGCGTAACCGGAAAGTTCCACACGACGAACCGACGCGTGTGGACGAAATAATCTGTGCGTACGCCTCTCGTGCGCGCGTCAGGGCAGTTGGTGGAAATAAAAGAGGGGCGCGGGACTTTGATCAATAATCTTCTTTTCATTTTGACATTTCCATTCTCTGCATTTGCAGAGCTCCTTGGTTAGGTTTATCTCTCTAAGTTTCAATTAGAGATTGGAAAGCTCCCAATTCATGTAATTGAGATTGCATTGGAGGATTCAAGTGTGGTAACTACTTCCATTCATCTTCTATTTCATGTATTAATCTCTCCATTCCATGACTTTAATTGTGATCTCATTTCATGATGTGTAGTTAGATTTTTCTAGGAATTGGATGATTGATTTGTGATTATGCATTCTTGTATTGTGTGGATTAATTGATGAGTTTGTGATGTATTGCTTGACCTAGAATTCCTATGTTGTGGATGAGTTCTATGTTGATTCACTCTTCATTTGTGGCCACAATGAGGAGAGGAGTATAGGAGTGTGGAAGTAGCAAGAGATTGTGCTTCCATTAGTCCTACTCATCCCAATCTTCGCCCTCGTTCCCGATAGGGTTAGGCCCGAGAGGAGAAGGTAGACCGCCCACTACATGTTTGATAAAATGCCTCCGCCGACTTAGGATTGGAGAGACTAGGTTCTACATAGCCTAGTGTTGGTGCCATAGTTCTCCCCTAGGATAGTCTTGTTGTGACACCCCGTAATCCAAATTCGATTAAGGGATTAATTAAGTAATTAATCCTAATTCAATTGGTAATTTAATTCCTTAAATTCCTGAAAATTCAATAGTCGAGGACTAGTAATTGACTAGTCAACCCAAAGTCAAGGTTGTACCTAAAGCTTTGTGAGTAGTTCCTTTGTTCCCTAACACCTCTTCATTTTAGTTAGGGTATTCAAGACATTTCACCTTATGTTAGTAATACAAGCTAACCTAGAAGACACACCTCATTCTTTCTCCTTACCCTTTCCAAACTTGAACTCCTCCATCTCTCTAAAAGTTAGATAGCTTTTCTTCCAAGCCAAGTTGGAGCTTTGTCAAATCTTCAAAGTTTGTCTACAAGATTCTACCTTTCATACATTTGAGCATCTAGGAGGGTAAGCTCTATGTTTATCTTGTGTTTTTAGTGTTTTCTAAGTTGTCTTTCCTTAAAGATAGAATCTTTATGGTCTTTTGGTGTGTTCTTGAAGTGGGTTTGGAAGGTGAACCTTATTAGGAGCTTGGTGAAGTGTTAAGTGAAGGTTTTTGTCTACAAGAGGTAACCCATGCTCTACAAAATCTATTTTGCTTACCTATATGATGATTTCTTGGATTCTACATGTGTTTTGCTATGAAATGTGAGTGTTTATGCATTGTCTTGTGAAAATGCATATCTAGAGCTTGTGTTTAGGGTTCTTGTATGCCATTGCTTGGCTATTCCTTCGATTCAAGTCATTTTGTTGTGTTTGGTGAGATTTGACATGTTTTGGACTTGAATTTGAGCTTGGTGTTGAAAATCCCCGAAGGGATGTTTTGGTACAGGGTAGTGTACCCGCGGGCAGAACGGCGGGCGATGGCCTACACGCCGCCCCACACGTGGGGTACAGGATGGCTGGGTGTGGTACCCGAGGGCGGAACCACGAGTGGGGGTCTACTCGTGGGCCCACCCGCGGGGAACAATACATGGTTATGTGGGGATTTGTTCCCCGTGATTCTTTTGACTCGGTATTTGGTCTTTTGACTTCCCGATGTTCTTTTGTGGAACTCTTTGAGTGTCTTCTTGATATTTCGTATGTCTAGAACTATATGGTAGCAATCCATGTAGGTTTTGGTGTCTTGAATCGTGATAAGTGTTCAACATTGTGTTTCGTTGAACCGTGATGGGTCTTGTGAGTTCTTCGGAACTACTTTTGGTTTACCCGTTTGATAAGCATGCTAGTTCGGCATTTTAATGCTAGCGTGTGTGTTGTTTGTACCTTCCTATTGTTGATGATGACTTGTGTTGTTCATCGTTGTAGTTGGACTGTGATCCATTCCTTGATTGAGTATGGTTTCATATCTTCGGTGTGATCCGTTGATTGATTCCTATTGTGGTGTGGTGTGTGGCTGTACCTGAATTGCACGATTAGTGGTATAGGACACTAGTCACCAAGGTACGGCAGTCGTCCTCGTGGTGGCCATGACGCGATTATGGTGTTTGTGACCTTTGTGTAAGGTTCACGTATTTCTTGGGAGGCATGTGTTGCCGTGTGTGTTCGGTACCCTCGTGTACTATGAAATCGGTGGTTCTGTTGGAGATCTGTTGGAGAGGGGACGACGGTCCTTGGAGGGATAAGGTTGGACTTGGTGTACAGGGGTCCTGGAGGTAAAGGTTGGAACTAGATATAAGGTTGGGGGTAGCCATAAGGTTGGGGGTAGCCATAAGGTTGGAACCAGGCATAAGGAAGACATATCAATTCGTGATGGGTGATGTCACGAAGGCTTGTGTAGCCGTTGTTGTGTATTTCTTTATTTGTGACGTGTGATGTCACAAAGGCATGTGTTGCCAATGGTTGTGTCTTTACTCTCTCCTGTGTTATACATGTCGGATGTTAATCTACTGTCTGATGGTAGATTATGCCTTGAGTCGTTCTTTTGTGTCGTTGTACTTCTTGTGGTCTTGGGATGTGTTCCCGAATGCTTGTGGTGAGTGCATAGAGCCTTGTGTTGACTTATGCTCTTGGTTTTGAACATATATATATATATATATATATATATATATATATATATATATATATATATATATATATATATATATATATTCTGTTTCGTAAATGATTTTACATATGTATATCCTATCTATGTATGATATTTCACATGTATTGGTGGGTTACCAGCATTATTCGCTGACCGGGCGTCGTCCCATCTTTTATGTGTTTCTTTCAGGTGATGTGTAGACGAGAGCGCGGTCTAGAACCTGTTAGTGTAGATCCCTTTGTTTTGAGTTTTTGTGGCCTGTGAGCCAAGGATAGACATTAGTACTCTTGTGTGGTATGGATTTAGATTGTGGATTATGCAGATGTTTAGCCTGTGCGTTCACCTTTGGGTGGGCGTGGCATAGCACCCTTTTTATTTCCTGTTTATATAATCCTTGTTTAGTCTTCCGCTGTGTTTGATATTTTGGTTAGTTATCTGCATGTTTAAGGTTTAATTCTACATGGAAATTAGGGGGTGTCACAGTTGGTATCAGAGCCTAGGTTGATAAAGTCTAGACTTCTAAGTGGTTAAGTGTGGTTTGAGACCTTAAAGTGACCTTAAGAATCTATGTGTTAGGCTTAGGACTCTAAGTTTCGCGGTGAGCTGAGCGTTGTTTTTAGCTGTTTGTTTGTTTGTTGTCTTTTTGGTAACCGTGTTGTTGTTGTAGAAGCTTTGTGACCCCCCCCCCCCCCCCCCCCCCACGAATGAGCAGCTTGCCCAGAACCTGCAGTAGTTGACGCAGACGATGCAAACTCTTAGTGAGGCGTTGCTGAACAACAACCATCCCGTGCCACCTCCTCAACCTGCCGGGCACAGGGACATGGGTCGTCTTGTGTCGGGTCACCGACCACCGACCTTCGCGGGTGAAGAAGACCCGGTTATTTTGGAGGAATTGATGAGAGCGTTTGATAAGATCTTCTCGGTTGTGGGTTGCCCCGAGGAGCGGAGAGTAGAGCTGGCGACGTTCTACTTCTGTCACGAGGCTGATCTATGGTGGATACATGAGGGTCCAGCCTACCTTGAGGAGCCTGAGTTCGATTGGTCTGCGCTTAAAGATCGGATGCGCGAGAGGTTTTATCCGGCGCATGTGCGAGCCGCGATGTATGAGGAATTCCTCCATCTTCAGCAAGGATCTTTGTCAGTGGTCGAGTACCACAAGAAGTTTCTCGAGCTTGCGCGCTTCGCCCGGATGCTTGTGCCTACAGAGCTCGCCAAGGTTGAGAAATTCGTTGCTGGCTTGAATTATGAGGCACGAAAGGCCTTGACCGTGAGTAGGCCGAGTTCTTTAAAGGATGCATATGTGAGTGCTGCAGATCTGTATCGTGTTCAGCAGCTTCAGCGAG